TTTATTTAAACAACCAAAGATTTTAATGGCACCATCTGCTTTATTGACTCAGAAAGTTGTATATGATTGATAGGACATTATTGTTGAGGTTTACCATTGTATCAAGTTGAACTTTTTTTATATTTCCATATTCTACAGCCCATGCCAAATTTTGACATTGCTTTTTATCACCTGCAGTTGTACTTACAAATCTATTTAGAGAAACATAACTGTATTGTTGCCATGTAACATCAATTTTAAAATTTTTTATAATTAGTTTAATATCATCAACATGTTTATCTTTCATTTTAGTTACTGCGCGCTTCATACTTTTTTTAGCAATTTTATCGTAAGCCTTTGCTATTTCTATATTTAGTTTCCTAAATGGAGCAGGTATTAAACAATGTAAATTCATAGAGCGACTAAAGTTTTTTTTATAGCTTGATATCCTCAATTTATTTCCTGAAACTAATTATCATGTTTTAAAGTTTTTCTTACTAGTCTTTTTTTCTTTTAATTTGTAAAGAAGAATATAAAACCTTTTTCCATCCACACATACTACAATTGATTTCAAGATGAAGGGCAATGCCTATGATAGAGTATTAACAATTGTAACAACACCAGAACAATCTGGACAACAAATGTTTTCCATAATATCCAACAAAATTTGAAATTTAATAATATAAAAGTAATCATTTTTAAAACAGTTTTATTTATTATTTGATTTACATTTATCAGTGGTATTAATTTTTTTGCACTTGCACAATTTGAATAATACCTGAATAATACATTTTTTCTGTTTTTTTGCACTTGTATAATTTGAATACTTACAATACTTGTAAAATACTTTTTACAAAAACTGCCAAAGGTTGCAATGTTAACTCAATAGATGATCTTTAAAGGGATCTCTAACTGCCAAGACAAGTTGTGTTCATATTAAAGAAAATGTTTAAAAAAAACATTTAGGATAAATTTTTTTGATTGAAACTAAATAATGAATGCATATCAACAAAAAAGTATCGTTTTAATCAAAGCTCGTCTTCTCCATTTTTTTTGTTCTCAAGGTCTGTATAGTGCCACAATCTACAGACTTGATAATTTATTCCATGCGTGTTTATTTCATAACAGTTTCAGTATATAATGTCATCACAATATCTTTTTAAGATAGCGTTTTTTTTTGTTGTTGTTGCTTTAAAGATATAAGTATTTTTTCTACCACAATCAGTTTTTTTATATAATTTTTTACTAAATCACAAAAAATATTTGTGATTTAGAAAAAAATTATACAAATATATATATGTATTTTTATATTTATATATATTTTTTACTTGCTTTATTATTACTTTGTTATAGAAGTCAGCCTAAATCATGACACAGTTATACATATTTTGTGATTTGGGGTCGTTCATAAAGTATGTATGCTTTTTTTTCACCAATACCCACTCCCCTTACCCCCGCATTTTGCCATACGCTTTTTTCAGTAACCTCTACCTCCCTAAAAGTACTTACGCTTTTAACCTACGAACCCAATAATTTATGATATTTTTTTTAATTTAGTGTTTCCATACTTTTATAATTGACCTACTGCCCCATCATCTTATAAACGCTATTTGCAGACCCCCTCTTTCTCTCCGAGCATATGGACTTTATGGACAATCCCTTATTAGAGTAGTGGTTTTCGGGTATGCTTTATAATTTATCTTGTAAAGATAAATTGTAAAGCATAGAATTTGTTTGTTTTAAAGGTTTAATTAATTCTCTACACAATTAATAAAAAGTAAGAGCTATATTATGTAATTATAAAAAAGTTACACAAAGTTAAAAAATCTTGAATAATCCTTCATAAAAAAAACTTTTTTTAAATTTAGTTATAAAATAAAACAGTGTTAACACTGTAAAACTTGACTTGTAGAAGTGTTAAGTATTTAGTTAATAGACAATATTTGATAACTTTTTCAAGAACTTTTTGCTTTGCATTGTGGGATGGCTTGGAGGATAACAAAGTATAAAAAATCAAATTTCGCATTACAACTTTTTTTAGCTTATGTTTAATGTAGTTCTTATTAATTTAAACTTTTAAAATTTATTAATGGATTTAAAGACAGAGTTTTTTAAAGATGACTGTGGAAATTTAGTTAATGTTTTAATGAATAATTTTTGTGCAAAAGGTCTAAAACTTGATAACAGTGTAAATTTTTCTAAATCGAAACTCAGTGACCTTAAAATTATCGAAGAGCTATCATGTTTTTAGTAATATAAATAAGGATAAAGTATTAGAAAAAATTATTTGCGTTTGGAATGTTTTAAATCTCCCAGGCAATACCAGAACCCATTGTGCGCTTAGCGATTTTAAAGTTATCAATTATCGTCTTTTACCAAAGTATTTTGAAGAAAAAATATTCTTTTTATTAATTAAACAAGGTTTGTTTCGGACTTTATGTTTTAGTTACTACTTATAAAAACAATAGTTTTAAGCACTTTGCATTTCTTATTGTTTAATGATATGTGTTAAAAACTTTGTTATTATCAAATTTTAATTAATTGTCAATGTTATTCAAATGTTATTCAAAAAACATGCGGTTGCTACAGAAAGATTTTTGTTTGGCTGGTAGCGAGCAAGTTAATGTGATTCTTTGTTTTTATATTTAAATTATAACTATTTTTTGTATATTTTAGTACAAATATTTGTTTTAACTTTAATTTAGTTAAATTTGTACAGTTATTAGTAAAATAATTTGTTAAATATTTATTTTCTACTTAGTTCAGTATATACGTTTTATTCAAGTCACTCGTTTTTTATTCAGTTTACACTTTAAATTAATTTATACGCTTTAGTAAAATTATTCTTTTAGTATCTAGTTTGTATTTAGTTTAAAGTACCTTTTACTGTTAATATTCGTTAAATATTAAATGTTTATTTTTATAAATTTTGTAAATTTAATTTTTAATTGCATCATACTTTTTTTTGGGATTTAGTAAAAAGTTATACAATTAACATGATTGTAGCAAAAAAAATAATACAACATCTTGAAAGAAAAAATTTATATGATGACATCCTATACCGAAACTGTTATGAATTAAACACCCATGGAATAAATTATCAAGTCTGCAGATTGCGGCTAACATTATACAGACTTCAAGAACCAAAAAAAAAATTTAGACGGCGAGCTTCGACTAAAACGTGAATTTTATAATTAATGGTGTGCATTCATTATTTAGTTTCAATCAAAAAAATTTAGCCCATATATTTTTTTAAACATTTTCTTTAATATGAACGCAATTTGTTTTGGCAGTGGGGATCACTTTAACTGTTGCAATTTTTCATTGAGTAATATTTTAATCATTAATGATTAAATGTATTAGATAACGGCTTTTTTGGTAAATACCATTTTAAAAGAAAATTGTTTTCCATTGCTGATGGTATTCGTAAGATTATTTTATGTAGTTGTATAAAACCTTTTAAACTGATTAGTGCTCATAACTTCAATAATATCAGAGCTATTGTAAATAAAGAAGTTTCACAAACTTTTATAAATTTCATTGGCAACATTATTCGATATCTTACCAAACTGTCCTAACAAATGGTTGCTTTAGTAGGACTGTTGAGAAGTTTCTCAACAGTTCCACTCAAGTTTTTAGGAATTCTGGTTAAGACTTAACCCTTGTTCTTCAGTGTGTGTGTTGTTCACGTACAATCAGGGTGTTAGGTCACGTACTATCCATGCAAGTTTTCTATTAAGTTTATTTTCAACCCATTGTATCATTCTTTTTTCCCATCTAGTATTTATATTAGTTCTATCACAACCTATGGACTCCAATGTCAAGTGCAATCATCTTTCTTAAAGCCATTCAACTAAATCTGCAATTATTTATGCAGAGTTTTTTTAATCTGATTCTACAGGAAAAAAATGAAATATATAATTTCCGCCAGGTAGTTATATATTCCATTTTAGAAACAGGTAATTATAACACTATATTATGGTCAATATTAAAGTGTAAATATAAAGTATTTAAGTATTTCTTTCTGTGATAAAGTTGAACAGTTTTTATAAACTTCTCTGTAATATTTGATCACTCTAGAATAGTATCTTTTCAAAATTTAAAAATTAAATATTTAACAAAGGAAATATGTTTTTTAAAACAGTTTTTTATTTAAAAATTTAATACAGTGTTGTTTAATAACTAGTTTAGATTATATTTAATTATTAGCATTTAAAGGAGGTAAGGGGAGGTGCAACTTCTTCCCCTAACCCTCTCACCCCGATTTTTAACTGGTCCATGTGGGTGTATGAATCTGACTTTATATCAAATTCACATCTTTAGCTTTATTCTTTTTTTTTATACTCCTTTTCTATCAAATTTGTCTTCAAAAAGGAACAATGCTAAGGAACAATGTAAAAAGATGCAATTTAGCAGAGTAACAAGTATTACAAGAGTTTTATAAGTCATAAATAAAGGAAAAGAAGAGATTATAACTTGTTTGAGCAGTTATTGTTTGATTTTGCAGGAGAAAAAGTCACAGGGTAATAAATCAAAAAAATTCAACCTTTGAATTAGGTAGGGCAGTGTTAGTTTCCTTATCTTATGCCATTCACTTTTCCATGTGATTTTTCACTCGGTGACTTATTTTGGCTTCAAATTTGTTAATAAATTGTTTAATGTTTGAACTATCTGTGTTGCACTGCATTAATACTCTCACAACCATGTTTTTATACTTGTCTTATGTTGTTAAGTTGTTGTCTTATGCAAAAAGAAAAAAAGATTTGACAAAAAAAAAATATTAGAAAAAGATTTATCTTCAACCTTTTCTGACTGAGTTTTATAATAGCTTATTTTAGTTTTTTTTATTTTTTATTGTTGAGATTACAATGTTCAGTATACAAGAGTGTTGTTTTAATACTTACAAAAGTTACAAACAAAAAAGTAAAATATTTACAATTATTAGTTAAAAAATCTTGAAGTTTAAAATATTTTTTAAGTTTAATAGATTTTACATATGTCATTTGTTATTTTTGGTTTAGCGAAAAAGATATTAATGAGGTTTTGCAGACACAACAAGTTTTTACTAATGTATCTAAAGGGCAAGTTGCTAAGAGAGAAGATTTGATTCAAGCTTTTGGCACAGATGATGAAAAAGAATGCTGTCTAAAGGTTTATTTCTTTAACTAAGTTGCTAAGTTCAAGTTTGCTTCTGAATAACTTTTTTTTTTTTAATTTTATAAACGCAGTTTTTTGTTTTTATTTACAAAAAAAATAACAAAAAATTTTATTAACAAAAAAACTTATTTTTTAAATTATTTTCAAATTTATCTTTAAACATGCTAATTGAACGTTATCAAGTTGCAAGTCATAAATTAACGTTATCAAGTTGCAAGTCATAAATTAACGTTATCAAGTTGCAAGTCATAAATTAACGTTATCAAGTTGCAAGTCATAAATTAAATATTTTTAGATATTAGCAAAAGGAGAACTTCAAGTTTCAGAAAAAGAAAGATCTCAACAATTTGAATCAATGTATAGAGATATTGCCACAACTGTTTCTAACAAATGTGTCAATCCTGAAACCAAACGCCCTTATCCTGTTGGAGTAATCGAAAGTGCTATGAAAGAAATTCATTTTGCAGTCAAGCCTAACAAAAGTACAAAAATGCAGGTAAATTTTCTAAAAGAGTTGAATGCTTCTTTGCTTTAGTATCCCTCTAGAATGATACAAGTTATAATAATTAAATAAAAAATTATGAATATATTTAAGTTTTAATAAAGTATTTATTTTAAATTAGTTAACTTATAGGTTTGAAATTATTTTATTTTAATGCATTCTGTATATTTTTATCTTTTGCTGTTTAATAACAGAATCTCTAAGCACTTTAAAGTTCAACTCAGTATCTCTAAGCACTTTAAAATTCAACTTAGTATCTCTAAGCACTTTAAAGTTCAACTCAGTATCTCTAAGCACTTTAAAATTCAACTTAGTATCTCTTAGCACTTTAAAGTTCAACTCAGTATCTCGAAGCACTTTAAAATTCAACTTAGTATCTCTTAGCACTTTAAAGTTCAACTCAGTATCTCTAAGCACTTTAAAGTTCAACTCATTATCTCTAAGTACTTTAAAATTATGACTGTTAGAAAATTTAAAGACTGTTTCAAGTTTGTTGTCTTTTCTAAATATAAATATAAATATAAATAAAAACAACTAATTATATTATATACTTAAAATTTAATATGATGGCCTCCTCAACTTTTAGAAAAATTTATTTTCAAAAAATATTCATTAATGGTCATATTGGACTTTAAATAAAACTGATAAATTTGGGGGTGCTGGAGACAATAAAAGAGTATTATTTTATGAAAATGTAGGTGGTACACATCATTTATCATCAATTTTCTAACATTTGATTTAACATTATAAAAGTTACCTCAAAAATGATAAAATTAGATCCATTTAAAAACTAAAAATTAGACCTGTGGAAATTTTATTTAATAAAAACTTTTAATTTTTTTTAATTATATGAGGAAGTCAAAAATTATATCTAAAAAAAGTAATGGCCAAATTTTAATTTAATTTATAATAATGCAATCTTTATTTTAAACTATTGAATACATATGATGCAAATACGTTTTATTAGTTATGATAAATAAAATTATAAATATTTTTGTGTTTAAACACAACTATATCAAATATTACTTAAAAAGTTAAAATGAGCAACAAATAATATATATATTTTTTACCAAATCTGCCATCATGGATTTTGTAGTTGTACTTTTTAATTAATATTAATATTATTATTGTTAAAATAATATTTATACAGGATATACACTTTCAGTTATAAAAATTGTTATCAACATGTCCTGTTTAAAAACTAAAACTTAAAACAGAAATTATAATGCTACGAAAATAACAAAAAGTATTAAAATGAATAATTTAAGGCCTAGTGGAAGAATGTGGCTAAATATTGGTACCTGGTCATTTTTGAGGGTGCTTAATTTAAAAATATGTAGAAAATTATGAAATTTAAACTTTTTGATAGTTATTTTTTGATTTTAAAATGGTCAGTCAAATTTTTTATATATATTTTTATATATGTGAAATATGAGGTCTTAAAAAAGTTTAGGTCTCTGTAAAGAAATAAAAAAGTTTCATTGCTTTGCATAACTTGCTTATTTAAAATAAATATTTTCAAAAGTATACATGGAAATATAATTTACTATACAACACATTGAAAATATTTTTTTGTTATATTAATTTAACTTAACATTGTTACTTATAACTATGTTTTATAATAATTATTACTTATAATACTTATAATTATGTCTTATAATAATTATTACTTATAATACTTATAATTATGTCTAATAATTAAGTATTGTTTTAAAAAATTGGTTGCATGCTCAAATTTTAGGTTGCATGCTCAAATGTTGTGTTAAAAAAAGAGAGACTAAAATGCAAGTTTTTTTGAAAAATATTAAAAAACCTGCTTTATTGAAAAAAGCTCAAATATAAAAATGCAAAGGAATAACCCAATATTACTAAAATTGAAGTTGATATTATTTAAATAATGAAAGTAAAATATTAACATTCATTGACAAGATAAAAGTTGTTTAAATAGAGTTTCATCTTCTTTTAAAATGTGGTACTGACACCCAGAAGATGTTAACAGTGTTTTAACAAGAGAAATGACATTCATTCTTTGCACCCAGCAATTATCATCTCACTTTGGCCAGTAGTGCAACCAACTTGGATAATGTGAAAGCAAAAACTTTACCATAAAATCATCATTTTCTTTATCAACTTCAGCAACCATACCAAGCCAGTAAAATTGTCATATTTGCAAAATAGGCATTGTGACATCATAATATAGTCAATTTTAATAGTTTCGTTTTTTTTTATTGAGGAAGTCAAAAGTTAGAGCAAAATCATCATCATCTGAGACTCTTTTCATTTTTATAATTGAATGAGAAGAAGGTATAAATTGATAAGCTTCTTGTCCCAGGGATAGTGGTTGCTATTAAAAGTCTATCTTAAAGTCTAAGTTGAGTTATTTTATTACTGATTATTATAAAGTATATTATTTACAGAGAGTTGATTAAATTTTCCGTTGAATAAATTACAAAAACTGTATTAGGATATCACAATTTAAGAAGCCAACATTGATATACCTAATAATTGATATATATATACTATAACCTTTAATAATATTATATTTGTTTCTTAATAGTTCGATTTCTTCAGCAGTGGCATATATAAACATATCCCACTGATTAACTTTTGGCATTATTCAAACATTGCTTGAGAAGACAGTATTTGACATGTGATCGGACTCAATCCAAAACAAACAATCCTTTTAACAGTGCCATCTATTCCATCACATGGAGATTTGCCATGGCTTGTTGCAAAGAAATTCCAAATGCAACAAACAAAAAAATCTTGAGCATGGTGATATGAATTGTAATAATGTTTGCAGTTTTTATACTGCCATCCATCTGAACTATCCGCACATCCATCCGACATAGCCGAATATCCGTACATTCATCCGAAAAATAATAAATTTTTGTAATTGTGGGACAAAGATGAGTTTTTATATGATTAATGGTTTTATGCATAAATTCATTGATAAATCCAACATCATCATTCAAATCATTTGAAAAGAAGATATTTCCAATTTCACTCTCTTGTAGTAGATGACAACTGGATGAAAAGAACATTGACTCTTGCTCAAATGGTAACTCTGTATCTCGTCTTGTACTACATAAGTGTAATTCTCTGCAAAATCTGCCAGTACAATAGAATCATCAATACTAATTGTTTCTTTGAGATGTTTTAAATATCTAGATTGTGATTTCGCTATAAATGAATGAGAAGTAATTTTACCCAGTTTTTCACACAGGAGCTCTATGAATTCATTTAATGGAAGTTTTATTCTTAATAGTTCTATCTGTCGTTGTCCACTGTTTGAAATCCACTGAATATTTATTACTTTCATATTGCTCTTTTAGATCATCATTTATATGAAATACTGCTGAAAATAATTATGGGCAGCTTGTACACTAGGATAACTATGCTGCAGACAATCTTTTCTTTTGAAAAATGATTTCATGGTAAGATGTTTCAATGCCTACAGCACTCAACATTAGTTTAACATTTTGGTGTATTGTACACGCAAAAACAGAATGTGTACCTTTTGGACCAGTAAGAATGCACCATTTAGGCTGAAGACTGCAAAATTTAGAAAATCCAACTTTATGGTCTTAGTACTTTATCCTAAATGCAACATAGAGTGCCTTTAAATTACACAAAATCAATTTTTTTGACATGTATTTTTTTTTTCCTAACACTTACAGTCTTTTTTACCTGGCACTAACCTTAAACACTCATCGTCACAGTAAAAAAGCTTTACAAATTCTATATCTTTGCTGATTTGATGCAGTTCAACCACATCAAGGTGTACTATGATGCCTTTTTGGTCACATAAAAAATTTGCATTTTGAATTTTGTTTTTAGAATTGTGTTTCAAAACTCTTTTGCTGTTTTTCTGATAGACCAAAATTTTGGGGTTAATGTCAAAATTTGAAGTTGCTTCCTTCTGTTAGAAACTTAAAGTTTTTTCTTTCATGCATTCAACAAGGAAGTCTAGAGCGCCAGCTTTGGTTTCAATTTCCTTTAGAACTTCATAGTTGTTTGGTGCAACAAGATCGGATTCGGTAGTATCCAGAGCAGTTGCAAGTTTCTTAATAACTGCTTCTTCAACTTGCTTTATTTTTCTCTTTTCAAGTGAAGGCTTCTTAGAGGTTTTAGGTAATTTAACTTTTAGAGGAGACACTTTAAGTTCACACAAAGTACTGTTGAACAATGATCTTGTTGATTCCAGTATAATTTCTATTTCCATATTATCTTCAGGTAATTTTATCTCCAACTCATTTTCTTCTGATTTTTCACTTAGTGTTAATTAATGTCTGCATTGTGGACAAAGCTTTTCACCTGGCGCTATGAATTTGTCTTTATTGCAAAGGTACTTTGCTGTATCCAAGTTGATTTTATGAAAACTGCCTAAAAAGAAAAAAAACTTTTTTAATATGTATAAAAATGTTAATAAAACTATTTAAAATTTAAAGTTGTATAGCATTTAATAGTGTACTTTCAGAAGTCAGCTAAAAGTAAAGTTAAATGTAGTTAAAATAGAATTTGGCTGTCAAAAATTTCATTATTATATCTTCAAAAGATTCGATTCCAAGCAACAATGTTGCGAGATGACATTCACTTTTTAGCTTAATTCCAATGGAGTACTGTTGGCTGTTTGACATTACTGAGAAATTGAATTACCAAATAAAACTCAATAATTATTTAATCTAAAAATAAAATATTTTTTATTTTTATACAACTGGAGTTTCAAAACTATATTTATCAGGGTTCCCACACCTCATTAAAAACCTTAAATATCCTTAAAAAATAAAAACCTCCTTAAATGTCCTTAAATAACCTTGAAAAAAGTTAAAATTTGACTGCTATCCTTAATTTCTCCTTATTTTTTTTTTTTATTCATCTAGAAAAATTTTTTAAAGTGAATGGATTATACTTGTTAACAAATAAGATATAGATTTTTGATAGTTTTCAAACCTATTTTTGTCATTATTTATAAATTAATATATATATATATATATATATATATATATATATATATATATATATATATATATATATATATATATATATATATATATATATAAAGTAATAATAATTTTTCTTTTTATATTTAAAATTTATTGAAAAAAAATATGATTATGTTTTTAATGTACATCTGTAGTAATAATATATTTTTTACACAGATCTTATTATACATCAATGAAATTTCAGATGTTGTTGGACAGATGTTATTGTACCTCAGTGTATTTACAGATGTTGATAGATAGATAGATGTACCTTGTTATACTTACAGATGTTGTTAGACAGATGTTATTAAACATAGCAAAAATTAATGTTGTTATTGAAATCTCCCAAACTGTATTAAAATAACTAAACTTTTCATAATTTTCATTTATATTTTTATAGATAAAAATAAGCTTAAAATAGCTTGAAATCTATCCAGTGTTTAATCAATCTTTTTTTTGATTTTTTTCTGAAAATATTAAAAGTGCTGTTTCTTCACTCAAAGGTTAAGATCACCTTGTATTAAGATTTCTACACTCAAAAGTTAAGTATGCCTTGCATACCTCTACATTTGAACCCATTTCTTGCTCATTCTTGACTTAGCAATGTATAACCTTTTGTCTAATGTTTGTCCTAAGCCAGTTTACTTCCATTTAGAACCTGTAACATAAATTAGTCTTTGAGTACTATATAGTAAATATTTTTCTCTTTCCTTTTTCGATTCACTCTATCAAAGTCTAACAATATTCACAAAGCATTTATGCACCTTCCACTCATATCTAGCTGTTAAATTCATAATTTGCTGTTAAAAATTTATTATTATTAGAATAATAGTAGAGACAGATGAGATGCAATGTAGCTTCTTAGCTGTGGTGAACTTAATGAAGAAAATGAAAACTCTGATATAGAAATCCCAATTATTGGTAAAGATAGGAGGAGCATGTAAACCTTTTTGTGAAGCTCCTTGAGGTAAGGAGAAGCTTTTATAATGATATTCCAAGTGTAGTATTGCAATAAAGTACTCAGTCCTGATCTGCGTCCTGATCTGCGAAATAGGTTAATGCTAGCAATGTCATCTTATAATAAGTTTTTCAAATCGTTCATAATTTCATATTTTTTTAACGAGTTGTGACATCTTTTATAAATAAGAATATTTTATTCTGATAATAACATAATAGTTCTTAATAAATAAAGTAGGTGTTTTCAAACAAAACACATTTTTATAAACAAATATATATATATATATTTTAAATTTATTTAGGTGCCCCAAGAAGACCTAACGGTCTTGTCACAGAGCACCGCAGAAGTGCATTTAACTAGGAAGTTCACGTCTCCTTCCTTACCGTGACGCAAAAATATGTCCAAGGCTCCTTTTGAACATGGATCTCCTGCTTATAAAGCAAGCGCTCTAACCACTGTGCCACGGCTGCACTATATATATAAAAAGGAAACACCCTGTTTACAAGTAACAAATGCAGTTCATCATTTTCACAAATAAAACACTATCTTTACAAACAAAATACACTATCTTCACAAATGAAACACATATTCACTAGTGAAGCACATTTTCACAAACAAAACAAATTTACAAATGAGTACTTATATCTAAAAATAAAATTCACTATACTCACAACCAAAAAAATCATGTTTACAAATAAAGACTTATTAAAATATATTGAAAAAAGCATGATTGAACTTTTTAGTCCCTGAGTTTCTTTTCGGTCAAAAATCTTTCATCGTTATAACTACACTTTATGCTAATAAAGAGAATATTGCTATTACTGTCATGTAGAGATTATGTTATGTAGTTATGGTAACATAAAGTAATCTCTTATAGTTATCTTGTTTTGTTTTTTTTTGTTTTGTTTTTTTTCCTATCGTATTTTGTCTCTTACAAAGTCTTTTTTGGTCTTGAGAGATAAAATGTTTGTTTTTTCCTAAATATGATATTCTTTTTCCTTTTTTTTTTAAATAGATGAATTTTTTGTTTTTTATTCATTTTTTTTATAGATGATTTTTTTTTAATTCATTTTTATTAGGACTGCTAAAAAAATTCAAAGTTTTATTTTCATTATATTTTAATTTTTCACTTAATTATAAATAGTTAATGACAATTTAATTTGGAATAGTGTAGTTTATAACTTAGTTTGGAATAGTTTATGGAACTGTTTGATAGTTCTTGAGTCACCAAAATTAATCTTTTAAGTTTTTTTCTTATATTTATTTTACTTTGACTGTTTTATATTATTATTATTAAACTTTTTTTTTGTGTACAATTTTGTTGTTTATCAAAAAAGTTTTACTATAAAATATTATAGTAAATAGTATAATTTTTTCACCCTCCTTCCATTTTGTTATTCACCCTTACATTTATTTATTCACCTCACTATTATTTCAGTCATGCCAACATTTATTAATAAAATTTAATAATACCTGTTTACTTCAGGCTCTTGAAGTTATAAAGTTGTTAAAAGCATCAATTGCCATTGAAAGAGCTGAAATGAGGATTCGCATAATTTTACCCAAAGACTGTGCAAAGAAAACTAGAGAAAAAGTTGTTACACTTGTGTCAAATATTGAAAAGGAAGAATGGTTATTGGGACAATTAGATATGGTAAATGTTTATTTAAATTTTTTTATTTCAATGTTTATTAAATTTTTTAGGAAGTATAAACACAAAGTTTTCAGTTTAGATCATGGATTAGGACCTGTACAACATAATAAAAAATTTTATATTCTAGTTGTCATATATTGTAAACTTGTTATTCTAGTTGCATCAGATAAATATATTGAAACATCAGATAAAGATTTTTATTGTTGAGACAGTGTTTTGGCAGATTATTTAACCTGACATAAAAAAATGGTTAAGAGAAACTAGTTCTGAAGGTTTAAGTATACTGTCAAAAAATTTCTTAAAATTACACTTTAAGCAACATTTGATAAGTTGAAAGAAATGTTATGAATAAACAGTAACAAGGCATATAAAAATATCTGATGAAAAGTTGAAAGAAATGTTATGGAGAAACAGTAATAACAAGACATAAAAATAACTGATGAAGTTGAATAATATTTTATGGAGAAACAGTAAAAAATAAAAATAGATTTTTAAATTAATTGTTTTAAATATATGTGTAATACTGTTATATGTTACTAATATACATTTTTCTAGTAACATAAAAAAGGTGATTAGTAACATACTACAGTATTTCTTCTCACATATATTTAAAACAATCAAATTGTAAATCTATTTCTATATGTCTTGTTACTGTTACTCCATAATATTAATTTCTTTCACCCTGTTCATCAACTAATTTTCTTAATATGTTAACAAAAGTTTATTACTAGTTGTTAAAAGTGGGCGAGATGCAAATTTATACATTAATACATATTTTGAATTTTCTTTAACATTAAAACAAAATGGGGCCTTTAACTCTCAAATCCCTATTCTAATAGAAAAAGTAGATATTTGGAATCAATGTTAAAGGTTTTTCCAAAAATGATAATTGAATATGTGATGAGAAAAAAATTTCCATTTTAATGACAATAAATGTTATTAAATGTTTTATTTACGCAATATTTATGTGTAAATAAAACAACACTTTATTAAAAAAAACAAAAAGCAATATAAAAAATTAAAAAAACAATCAATAATAACAATTAAAAAATTAATCAAATAGTATGATAGTTTGACACTGGTACCATTCTATATTTTGGCTTGCTGAAGCTTCATCTAAAACTTTTTGGCACTTTTTACAATTTCCTATTGAATAGCTGGAGTTACTACAACATTGAAGGTTGTTTGCAGACAGGTAATTTTTGAGGTGATTTTGGAGCTGATGCTACGTGACATGTGCTGATGCTAGATGTTGGTGTAGATTCAGAGGGCAGTGGTAGTGTAGTTCCTGGTAGCTTATATTGGTAATGGTACTATCATAGACTCTGGTTGTTGAGATAATGAAGGCTCAGGTTCAGATGACGATGTTTCAAAAGCATTAGCAATTTGAAACTTTGACTGATTGATTTTGATGTCGAGTGGAAACAAGCCAGTATTCTGAAACCCAGTGATTATTTGGATATGTGTAAAAACTTCACCAGAGCGGAGAAGTTTTTTTTGCAGGTGACTAAAACATTCTTTTGATGAGTTGCTGAACTTTGTCTCTGCATAAAACTGTTGAAGTAATTTACGCCAAACTCTTTTAACATGGCAGTAAACACCAACATCTAGTGGCTACTGAATATGTGACGAGTGAGCTGATAAGTAAATTAGCAAGATATTGTTTTCAATGCAAATAAGTATGACCTGGTAAGTCAATTGTGTCATATGTACATCTATGCCTAAAATATAAATACCTAAAATTAGATCACTATAATTAGATTGATGTAATCTTTTATGGATGTAAAATTAGATAAATTTAACTAGATAATTAAAATTAGATTGAACTAATTACCTGGAATTTCCTTAATGGCGGGAACATACACATTAGTGAACCACTGCCCAAATTGCTTATCTTCCATACATCCAGATGGAGATTAGTGTTCATGGCATCATCAGGATCACTTAAACATCAATCTCTGTACAGATGTTTTTTTGATTGAAAAATAATGTATGGAGCAAGACGATTACCAGCATTTATGCAATTTCCAACTGTATAATAGATTTTTTCATTGTTGCCAACCTATTTCAATGGTTGTTTTGCACCATCCCGGAAAACTATATTTTGTTTACCTTGATCACCAGAGAATCCAATTTCATTAAAGTTCCACAAATAACATGGAGTGTTTTTGTTGATACCAGCTATGTTGAATTCTCTTTGCAGTGTGTTGAAATACTTTGCTATTATTTGCATGCAAAAAGCGGCTCTGAGTGATACCAATCACTTGCTGGTGTACCATTAGGAAACAAATGAGATTGACCTTGGTATTGCAAATAGTCAGTAATTAGTGTGGTGATGTTATTGTAAGTTTTACTAAAGCCCCAATCAGATAATTTGTTGAGCGTGTTTACTAAAACTGATTCAAGTTGTTTTGACAATCTCGTGCTTGAACCACTGTCAATTGTTTCATCTCACCGTGGACACGTCTGTGAAGAGTTGCTACTGGTATGCTAAATGATTTAGCAAATTTGTTAAGTGAAAATTCACTGCATTTTACTTTAACCACCGCAAGCGCAACTTACTCTTTGGTGTATAGCTTTTCTTTTTTCTTTGCATGCAACTTGTTTTGAGGCATATTTTATGTTAAAATAGATTTAACAATAATCCATCTGAAATATATGCGCAAAATTTGTAGAGATAGTTAATCATTAACTATCTCTATAAATCACTTAAGACTTAATTAATAAAAACTGCTTTTTTTTTTTTTTTTTTTTTTTTTTTTTTTTTTTGTAAACATCTTTGCTTCCAACAAGGCTGCAAGCAACCACTAATTAGTAACGGAAGTTACTGGAAGAGAAAAGATGAAGACTGTAGAGCAAGATAATGATTGACAGACCACTTAAAAGATTGAAAGCAAGATGAAGGAAGCGAATTCCAAAGAACTGATGTTCGAGGAAAAAAACTAGACAAATAAGAGTTTTTGGAGCACTTAGGAACAGTAACAGAAAAAGAATGAGACTTAATTGAATGGCTAGTAACACGAGAATGAATTTTATTAGATGGCACAAGAGACGCTAGTTCTTTAAAGCAGTGCCCATTATTGTATTTGTAGAAAAAAGAGAGAGAAGCAACATTACTACAATGTGATAATGGTTGAAGGTTGGCTTCAAGAGCAGGTCCAACTACGTTTACAAAGCGTTTTTGCACCTTGTCTAAAAAAAAGGACAGATCCGCCCTAAATATTCCATACAAAGCCAGATTTGAGATTTACAGAGATAGAGAATAGAATCCAGAGTAAGAAAGTGTCAAGCTCGATAAAGAGATGCAACTTTAGCAGATGCTAATTTTGCAACGGATATACGGTTTCCAAGAACTTAACCTCTCCACCTTTATCTAATGTGTGATAAAACCTATCGGTTATTACTGTTAGCAAATCAGCCGTAGAACGAGAAGATCGAAATCTGATGATTGATGATCACAAAGTAAGTTATTAGATTCAAGATGAGAGATTAAGTGTTTTGTTAATTAAAGATTCAAAAACCTTGCTTATGATAGGAAGAAGACTAATGGGATGGTAGTTGAATGAATCAGATCACTCTCCAGAATTTTTAAAAATAGGGATAACAGATGCTGCTTTCCAGCAGGCTGAAAAAAACAAGACTCTGATAAGCACTTGTAGAATAGTTTTAAAAGGATAGACGACAGCTCCAGAAAACACTTCTGCAAGACTATAACAGGTATGCTGTCCTGGCCACAAGCTGTAGAAATCACTTCAGATATGGAAATCACTTGAAATATAGAACTTGAGTGATATGGATGTCAAGCAATGGATCAACCTGTTTGACAGTTATATCAAGTAGAACGCAGCTATTGATGAAAAGTTCTCAGCAAACAATTCAGCTTTGTCTTTAGGTGAGGTGACAAAGTCTGAACTGTACAAAAGAGGAGGAGTTACCCTTATTATTGATACTATTAAAGCTTCTCCAGAAGTCACAAAAGTCTAATTTTTTTGATGAAATACGAGATTTCATGACCTGAGAATAGTGGGCTTTTGCGTTAGACAAAACCTTTTTACAATGGTTTCTAGCAGTAATAAACAGAGGTCTGTTTTCTGGAGAATTGTTTTGCTGATGATATGGAAGTACTGGTTTCAATTGGCAATTGCAGTAGCACAATGTAAAGAAACCATGGAAAAGTGTTAGACAACCTGGAATCGTTGAGAGGAAATAAAGGATTTCATGCTAGCCTGAATCCATGAAGTTATGTAAGAAGCACATTTGACAACAGGAAGACGGAAGATTTCTACCCAAGGGCTATCATGAAGAAAATTACGGAAAGAGTCCCAGTCAGCTTTAAGGTAGTTTTAAGATGTACGATGATAGGGGGATTCTGATGATAAAGAAGAATGAGATAATAGTTTTAGAGAGAGCAAACTGTGATTAGAGGCACCTTTGGGTGAATGTGGAGAAACTGAGCACTGACTAGGATCAGAAACAAGACATAAGTCGAGTAGAGAAGGTAAATGATTCGGGTTGTCTGGAAAGTGAGTTGGAAAGTTGACTATTTGAGTTAGGGATTGAGAAAGGCAAAAGTTGTGTGCCTTAATGCCTGCAGAGTCACTGACACTAGAGCCAAGCCATTTAGTGTGATGAACATTAAAGTCTCCGAAAATAACAATATTGGCTGATGGATAAAGAGAGAGGGCTTGGTCAATATGAATAGAAATAACATCAAGAAGAGTGCAGTCTTGAGGTGAAGAAGATTGATGTAGAACAAAGAGAAAGGTGATAGAGTGAAGTGGTGCTAAACGAAAGCACATAAAAGAGTAGTCTGTGGATTCAAACCTAGTTTCCCAACAAATAGGTGAATTCTTATGAATGTAAATGCCCAGGCCAAGCATGTGACTATTGGAGTCTTTACGAATTAAAGGAAGAAAACTATCAACACTAAGATCACAAGATGAGATATTTGAACTCAAATTAGTCTCACAAAGAGCAAGTATGTCTGGTGAACTTTGCAAGAGATAAGACTTAACAGAAGAAAAGTTCTTTGAAGACCACGAATATTAGTGAATGACAGTTTTAGCGAACTTGGTGATGACAATGGTTTTTTGTGTTTTATAGTTTTTGTTACTTTATTCATTTTTTAATTGAATTGAAACATAGATAGTAGTCAGTACACTGTTTAATAGCCCAAGCAATTGCCTCATTACTACTAATAAATCCTAAGCCGTAATAAAAGGCTCCATTGTGGCCTTGGAAATGCACACCAAAAGTACAAACAGGGACACCATCCATGTGCAACACGGCACTGTTAGTACTTTGATATTTTTCTATTGATGGAATCAGCCTCTCTGAGAGCTACCATAGAGTTCGGGAAACCTGACTACTAGTCGGCCTCAGAACCATAAAAATGAGTTTTAGAACTGTACCCTCATTAGGAGATAATAGAATGAGTTGCCTAGTCATACAAACAGAGACACAAGCAAAACCCATGCATTGAGTCAAGAAGATCCAGCATTCAACATCCTAAACTGGAAACAATGTATTAAAAATGCATCTGCGTCAGCCTAATAGATGGAGAAGGGGTGCAAGGCTGGTCAACAAATAGAATTTGTTTACCCCTTAAGTCTTTGCCTAGGAGGCCTTCTACAAGACAGTAGCTGGATGCATTTAACATCTGCCTAAGATAAGTATTTTTATCAAGACACCATCTCTAGCCTTTACTCAACCAAGAGCCCCATGGCAGGGGGTGTTTTATGTCGAAGTTGGCGTCTCCTAGCCTTTGCCTAAAAAAGCGTATCCTACAGGGCAGCAGGACATGAAGCAGATTGTACTGGGTTACATATTACCAGTAGCAGGATAAACCTGACCTGAAAAACTTTAGCAAGAGAGTAACTAGCGTATTTCATTCATTTATTAGAATCATTTAATAAAAGCAGTCAGTAAAAGTTTAAATTTAAATTTAGGAAAAATTTAAAAAAATTTGAAAAAGTTTTTCAATACAAAAAAATTTATAGTTGGAAATTTATTGGTTACTTAAGATTTAATAAAAAAAGCCGCATTTAAGAAGTGAGCTATTGCTTTGCTTAATATTAGCTTCAATATATATTTGCTTAATATTACATTCAACCCCACAATTCTCCTTTTCTGTTTTTTACTTATAATTTTTTATTTAAAATCGCAAATTTAATTTTGAAAAAAGATTCTTTATCAGCGTAACTTTTTAAGCTCAATGATATCATTTTTAACTTCCGAAAGTTTTATGTTCATTTTTCAAAATAATAAAAAAAATCTTGTTACGTATACGAAAACTTAAAAATTTATAACAAATTTTTTTTCATCAAAAATAAAATTTGATATCATCTTACTCAGAAAAGTATTCTCTACAAAGTAATTTAAAAATATTTGTAAAATGATTATTTTATTATTTAATTAATAACTATTTCATTCTACCTGCTATTTCATTTTATCCTGTTTTACTCTACTTCTTCATTGATTGATAACCTTTAAATATAGTTTTATCAGAACAAATTAATATTAAAGTTTTATTTATTTTCGAAAATATTGTTTTTGATGACTCTATTTTGACTCTTAGGAATGTTTGATTGATCCTGGTGTCTATCGAGTAATCAATGAAATGATAAGCAGCGAATCAAAAGGTAAAGGAAACGTGGAACTGCTATCATTAAAAGAAATAACTGAAGGCGAGGAAACTGTTAAGTAACTCTTTGATTGGTGTCAATATTTTAAAAACGGTTTTCTGCAGGTTCAGAGTGATTGATGATTCTATGCAAATATAGAATAATTGACTTTTCATTGTAAGGTTGGAGGAAGTTAGAGTGCAGTTCATAAAAATTTATTTATATTTACTAAATTTGAAAAAAGTAAAAATACAACCTGATAAGATTGCAATATGATCTATTGTGTAATATGATGTAGTTATAATAAAAAAATTGTGTTTTGGTTTGTGCTTTTTTTTCTTGCTATTTATTTTTAATATTAGAAATGGTTGCTAACATAAGAAAACCAAAAAACAAAAATACTTTTATTATAAGTTATATGAAATTAAAAGTTATAAAATTACACTATAGTGCGCTGTTTTCCTTTAAAATCTGTTGTGATTTCAAATATCGTATTCTCATCTCTCCGTTAAGCTTAACGGAGCGTTTGTCAAAAATTTTACTGCAACATCTTTATGTTAAAGAAATGACAAAAACTTTATTCAAATTTTTTTAATTAAAACTAATACTAAAATAAAACAATTTTATTTAAAAATTTATATTTTTAAAGAATTTTTTAATTGAATGTAGTTAAAAAGAGCTTTTTGACAAACGCTTCGTTAAGCTTAACGGAGAGATGAGAATACGGCCACAGGGAGATATTTAGTGTTAATAAAATATTGCCTTGCTTATATATTATCTAAACTATACTCACATAGGGGCAAAATAATTTTTTTATAAAATGTTTTTTTTAACTAGCTCTTATTTTAAAAAAACTTTTGTAAATCATTTAAACATGATTTATTATTTCATTACTATTCCCAGTGGGCACAAGACGTGTTTTAAACGTCTAAAATATGTATTAAAACGCTTTACTTGTAATACGTGTTTTAGACGTTTTAAACACGTTTTGTGCCCATTGGGTTACTACTAAAAATTGGCATTTGTTTACTTTATAAACCAGCCGGAAATTATAATTTTTTTCCTTAACAAACTTTAAAAAACAGTGCGTAAAAGGTTGACCGTACTCTCTAAATCGTTAAAACTTCAGGGAGTGAAAAGTATTCAAGTTTTCAATAAAAATCTAAATCAGACAAATGTACAACAATCTGTAAAACCTCATTTAAAAAATACTAATTATGGCTATTTTAAAATTTGCAACAAAAGTCTAAAAAAAAAATTGTTCACTTTGTTTTCTCATCCAAAGCTCTTGATAGTTAAAACTTTGGATTAAATTTTCTTGATTTTCTATCAAGCGTTGTTGCAAATAATTTACATATGAATGTAGTAGAAAGACATTAGTTGTCTAAGTCTTGTCGATGTTCAACAAGACTCTTCTTTAACGCACTAAAAATTGTGCTGGGGTATGTATAAATGCATAAAAGGTTTGAAAACAGTACTTTTAAGTAGAGATTTATTTATTGAGTTTACAAGTTTTACTTACAAAAACTTAAAATTTTTCTCTTCATACAATCTTGTAAATAAACAGATTGCAGATGAGTGCTCATTGGATCATAGTTCGCAATAAAGTGAGGAAAAACAAAATATTATCTGGCGCTTTTAATTTTTCTAAATTATTCTATCAATTCTGATAAAATCAAATCTTTTTGCTTCGTTTAATCTAATCAATAATGGGCTAAAGTTACCTTTCCTTTTTTTTTATTTTTTCTCCTATTTAAAATACTTTGAGCAGTATCGGTATTTTTTACTTTTTGTAAATTTTATTAAAGTTTGTAAATTTTTTTTAAATAAAATATTTGTGCACATAAAATTAAATGCCTCTTAACTTCGTGATCATGTCATAAATTTGTTTAAATTGGGTAAAAGATATAGAAACAATTGGAAGTTTCAAATTATAAAAAGTACAAAAAAAAAAACATAATTGATAAACTACATAAACTAAAATTTTGAATATTTGGTAATGTATCGCCTTAAAATATTTTAGAAGTATAGATTAAACATTTCACGTTTTACAACCTTAGTATAAACCATACACCAAAAAGCTTCCGCAAGCAAAATGGATTTCTTAGTAGAGGCGGAAAGTTATATTAACTATAAAATTAATGATGAAGCTTAAAAATTCAGTAGAACTCATTTAACTCGAATCCTGAAGGATTCTCAAAATATGTTCAAATTAAAAGAGTTCTCGAATTTTAGGAGTTTAATTCTTAAATACTAAACCCTAAACTAAGACTTAAATGATCTTTCGAACTATAGGAGTTCAAATTACAAGCTTCAACCGTACTCTTACTCTTTGCTAAATGAGTAGCGTATGTGGTGTGGCGTATGGTTTTAAATATAAAAATGTGCATTCCCAAAGACCACATTGACTTTGCCAATGCATATAAGTTTTTATTTGCAAAAAAATTTTTTGGTTTAAATTTTATAGTTTTTCAATTTCAGGTTTTCAATTTTATAATTAAAAACCTGAAACTTCGTTAATTATCCTGATTTTATAAATTTGATTTTATATTTTGTTTAAAAAATTGGTATTGTCTCGGGTAAAATAAAACATACTGTTTTTGAATACAGTCGTACACCGGTAAAGTCCAAGCCTGAAATTTAAGCGTTCTAGAACACCCAACTACGCGTTCAGTTTGCATTGATAACTTTGTTTTCAAAAAAAGTTCTGAAAAATGCTAAGTAATGCAATGAAAAGTTCATCTCGTTTGGTTTATTGCAATGTTAGAAATTTTACATCAAGTGGACAGGTTAGTTTTAAAAATTTATCATATTTTAAGTGATCATTGTTTTCAAATCCAAAATCAGTAAATTTAAACTAGAGATATAACACATCAAGATCAATAAATTAATTTTATGAACTCTTTAGAGAGTATTTCAAGTTGCATTATTAAGGAAGCAACTCAATTATTGTGATTTATTCTTATCTAAAAATACTGAGATGTTTCAGCATTGTTATTCAGCGTTTTATTAACAAAATTTATTCACCTTTCTTGTCGAATTGGAAAATAAATCTGTTTAAAAAAGTTATTTCTTGTTAGGTCCTCTCCCAAAATATTATTTTTTGGAACAGATGTTTTCAAAACAAAATTTTAGTTTAATTAAATTTTAGATTTAATAAGGCCTGTTGTGTACTAATTTGTTACCAAAATATAGATACATTTTGTTTCATATTATTCAACTTTTTGCTTGATATTGATTTATTAACTTGTTTGTAATAGTGATTCCACAGTGCAACAAAAAATGTTTTATGTTTGATAAAAAACATAATTTTTATGAACTTTGCTCTCTTATATCTTTTTTGTATATTTAAGCAAAAACATTGAAGTTTTTCGCATCAATTAGTTCGACTCAACCTCTTTCCAACCATATATAGAAAGTGCTAAGCTTTATATAGCTTCACTTGTATATTATTTATGTCTTAAGACCACTATTGATACAGCAAGAATTTGCAGCGAGAATGTTTTTCTTTTTAAGTTTTAAATCTTCTGATAAGGGGAATCTTTTTAACATTTATACATAATTTCTTAGTTCTCATTTAAAAACTTAAAGGTCAGTTTATTAAAAAAATGAAAAAACTTTTTAAAAAAGGTTCCCTGTGAAAAGAAGCAAGTATAACCTTTCCTCTAATCAAACCAAGTATTTATGTTTTTTTGGTGCTTAAGATTTTTATGTAGAAATTATATATATTATGTTTTTTCCTTGAGGTATTTTTTTTTATGATTTTTGTTTTTGATAAAATGTATTAAGTTTTTATAAATTCGCAATATCTTTTGATATTTTTTGAATTTATTTTGGTGCCATTATGCATCCAAGTTTAAATACAAAAGTAAGAGGCATTTTGTCACAAAAAATGCAATAACTTTATATCTGCCTAACTTCTAAGAGCCATTTATTTAATTTTAAAAATGCAGTTGACAAGGCAATTTTCAAGACCAGCATTTTATTGACTATTCAATAAATTGTACAAGCAACTAAATTTGTTGTTTGTTAGATTTATTTTATTTGAAAAAAAAAATTTTTGTTTTGTTTTATTTGCTGTTTTCTATAATTTTAAAAATCTATAATTTTAAAAAGAAATTATTTTCAAAATATTTTATCAAAGGTAGTTGATTCTAGTCTGAAACTAATCTGCAATCATTTGCATGCCACTAAGGATTTGAGAGTTTATATGATTAAGATTCAAAGAGTTACTCATATTAGTGAAATCATAAATTTGGTGGATAAATTAAAAAACTAAAAAAGTTTTTCAACAGCATTTTTAACATAAAATAATGCTTATTTAAACTTATTTTTGAATTGTTTTCAAAACCAAGAACCTATGTTTTGAATTATGTTACTTTCATTGAGTTTTAGTTCTTTTGAATTAAGTAATTTTTTGAATTAAGTAGTTTTTTTTTTTATAAATACTTAAAAATTGTTTTCTTTTATATAGCTGAATAAGAAAGTTGCTGTTCTTGGAGCAGCTGGTGGTATTGGTCAACCACTTTCACTTTTGCTTAAACATTCACCAATGATTAGTCAACTGTCTCTTTACGATCTTGCTCCATATACTCCAGGTAATTTAATTTTAACATTATTTTTTAATAGTATATAAATATTTTTATTAGTATATATAAAGTAATATTGGATTTATTTTACAACATATATGAAGTAATATTGGATTTATTTTACAGCACTAGAATGTTTTTAAATAGAAGTATAGGATCTATCTATTTTAAAGAAATGGTATAAAATCAAATGGTATAAAATGAATTTATAAAAACGATAGGTTCTTTAAAATTAGATTAATTATTGACACTTGGTGCACTTAAATTTGATATCTAATCAAGGGTACTTTTTCTGAGTTAATGCTAGGTATATTTAGCATGTAATGGTGTAAAATAGCAACTGAACAAGAACATGCTTTATTTTGTTTCTATTTTTTAAACTAAGGTTCTAAAAAGAAAAAAAACAAGATTTTTTGAACTACTTTAAAACTAACAATATTACTTTTTTTAATTGAGTTTTTTCTAAAGATTTATAAAATTAAAAAAAGGACATCTTATTGAGTAGTTTTAATTTTCATAGATCCATATTGTGGAACTATGGAAATAAAAACATAAATCTTCTACATTGTGTGGTTTTGACAGGTTTTATATCAGAGTTATTCTTTTCTAGGTAAGGTAATTTTTTACCACAGCCAAAGAGATTTGCCTGCCCAAATAGAATCAGCTTGACATTATGACTAGGATATTAGCATGCAATAGGCATAAAATTTGCCTTCAAAACAATGATAAAAGTATTTTTAAGCTATTGTTAATATTTTTACATATAATGCCTTAATTAAAAATGGATGAGAGTGAGACTTTTTTCAAATCTGAGCAGAATTCTAGAATTATAGCAATTATTGTTAACTTTTTTAGTAAAATCAGTGTTATATTTAAAGTATTACATATACTTATATATGTTTAAACTAACTTTTTTAGTAAAATCAGTCTTATATTTACAAAAACTATATATACATATAGTAAATTTAATTTTTTAGAACTAAATTTTTTAATCTTTTAGTATATTTTTTTATTGATTTTTTAGAACTAAGTTTTTTAATCTTTTAATATTTTAGGTGTCGCGTGTGACCTCAGTCATGTTGAAACTTTAAGTGAAGTGAAAGCATATCTTGGACCAGAAAAGCTTGATGAATGTTTAAAAGGATGTGATCTTGTCTTGATACCAGCAGGCCTCCCTAGAAAGCCAGGTAATTTTTTTTTATTAATTTGATCAATTTATGAGCTTTTCCTTTAACCATTGCTTTGTTTTTAGAAGTTATTAATCTTATACACTTGCTATGTGTGGGATTGGTATAAGTGGTTGTTAATTAGTGGTTTTCTAGCTCAAAAAGTAAAAAACAGTGTTGGGTGGTAAAATTGAGTGGCTGAAAGATTTTTGTAGACAAAAATTTAACAAAAAAGTTTTATTTATCTATGTATAATTTAACTAAACTAAAAAAAAAAAAATTTATTACAAAATATTGTATTAGTGACTTTTTAGTTTAGTGTCTGCTATTGATATAAAGCAAAACTTTGTGCATAATTTTGTTATTGAGTAAAATGGTTTTGCACATTGGCGTAACATTTTTAGTTTAATATTTATAAATAATTAGTTGATAACAGCTTTCCATTGGTTCTCACATACAAAAATTATTATTTTATGTATTGTTGGATTGAATCGTTTTTTTTATAAAAAAGAATAGTAGTAAGAAGCTTAAAGTATAAGCAATAACACAATCAAAATTTTGACCTCCCAAATAAATTCTTGCTGGTTAAGGTGTATTTTCAAAATACCATTGTTTATGATAACTGACTTTTATTTGACTTTATTGATGCCTATTAAATATGACATCTTTTATAGCCTATTAAATATGACATCTTTTATAGCTATATCTTCATTTTTTTAACAGTTTTAGTTTAAGTTCACGATAAAATCAATCATTGCAATCTAGATAATTCTCAAACTCTTTATATTATTATTTACTGTTAATTAAAAGCTTCCAACTGTTGTAATTTTTTTTTAATAAATCATAAAATTTTTTTACCAGTTGTGATGTCATTGTAATGAATAAATTTACCAGTTTAAATAAACTATAATTATAATTTGCACATTTTATCTACTGACTTATCAAGAAAATGATTAGTGTTAGTAATTTTTATCCTGGCATTTTAAAAAATGTTTTAAATCTTTGTGAATATCAAACTTTTTTTTTTTTAATCAATTATTTTTTCTCTCTTTTATTTTTATGCAAAAAGATTGACCAAATATAATAGATATAATGAATAAATTTAAAAATAATAATAACCGGCAGAAAGACAAAATCAAAAAACATTTTGTAAATATTTTTAAAAGTAATAATTTGAAAATAAAATAATTACTATCTGATTCAATATGAAAATAGTTAACTACCTCGATCTCAATAACAATTCATTTCGACTGTACTGTAAATGTACGGTTTTTGGACGCTTGTATAGCGATCAAATGTGTTATAAGAGCTTTTCATTAAAAAAAAAACATTTACGGAAAATTCAAATACAGTTAACTATACTATGTAACTTTTTGTGAAAAAAGTATATTTGCATAGCGTACCAACTATGGTGAATGTTCAGTCAACAGAATTTAATGTATTCAAAGCAGAGCAAGAAAAACTAATAAAAGCATTAAATAGGACCATCAAGGAACTAAAAAATTCAAACTTACTGTTATCAGAAAGAGTAAAAATGCTCGAAAAAGCGGAATCTGTCAAATCATCACCTTTATTATCATGGGCAAGTGTTGTAAGTGGAAAAACCCCAGTGAAAAAAATGGTAGAGCAACTAAACCTAATAAATGTTGTTACAGCTGAAAAAAAGGAAAAAGAAAAACATGAAAATAATGTAATAATATTTGGCATTATTCCATCGAAAGCAATCGATAAATCAAGTGCAATTAAGGAGGATAAAAATTCAATCCAAGAAGTTTTGAATTCAATTAATCTGAAAGTCAAAGTTAAGCAGATTATAAAGCTCACATCGATTTTTTTTTTTTTAATTATCTTCGCTTTCAACAAGGCTGGAAGCAACCACTAATTAGTGTTGGAAGTTACTGGAAGAGAAAAGATAAAGATTGTAGAGCAAGATAACGATTGACAGAAGACTTAAAAGATTGCAAATTATATGAATCAGGAAAGCAAGATGAAGGAAGCGAATTCCAAAGAACTGATGTTCGAGGAAAAAAACTAGACGAATAAGAGTTTTTGGAGCACTTAGGAACAGTAACAGAAAATGGATGAGACTTAATTGAATGAGGAGTAACACGAGAATGAATTTTAGTAGATGGCACAAGAGACGCTAGCTCTTTCGAGCAGTGCCCATTATTGTATTTGTAGAAAAGAGAAAGAGAAGCAACATTACGACGATGTGACAGAGGTTGAAGGTTGGCTGCAAGAGCAGGTCCAACTATGTTTACAATGCGTTTTTATACCTTGTCTAAAAGAGAAAGGGCATCATTAGAAGATCTGCCCCAGATATGGCAACAGTATTTCATACAAGGCCAGATTTATAGAGATAGAGAATAGAATTCAGAGTAAGAAAGTGACGAGCTCAATAAAGAGAAGCAACTTTATCAGATGCTAATTTTGCAATGGATTTGATATAAGGTTTTCAAGAAAGATCAGAAGTAAGAGTTAATCCTATAAGATGAAGGGTAGGAGACTCATCGAGTACATTACCGTTCATAAATATAGGAAGGTTTAAACTATTGCGATAACGATTGGGCGAAAAAAGTTTTATCTGAATTAAAGTTCACCAGCCACTGTAAGCCTCATGCTGTAGCAGAAGTGAGATCCTTTTCAAGCTCAGCTGCCCCCTGCAAGCAATCAGAGGGAGTTGGCTTCTTATCGTGACAAGAATAAATGGTAGCATCATCAGCGAACAATGCCACCTTAGATGTGAGAATATCTGAAAGATCGTTAATGTAAATTAAAAAGAGTATAGGGCCAAGGATGGAACCTTGGAGAACCCCTGAGGTTACAGAATAAGAAGAAGAGTGCTGTTCATCAAGGACAACTTTTATACTACGATTGGAAAGAAAGGATTCAGTAATCTTAAAGATGTTTCCAGATACACCGTAAGAAGAAAGCTTATGGAGAAGATTAGCATGCCAAACTTTATCAAACGCTTTAGAAATGTCAAGAGCAATGGTCTTAACCTCTCCACCTTTATCTAATGCACGATAAAACCTATCGGTTATTACTGATAGCAAATCAGCCATAGAACGAGAATATGGAAATCCATATTGATGATCAGAAAGTAGGTTATGAGATTCGAGATGAGAGATTAAGTGTTTGTTATGATAGGAAGAAGACTAATGGGACAGTAGTTAGACGAATTGGATCGCTCTCCAGATTTTTTAAAAATAGGGATAACAGAAGCTGCTTTCCAGCAGACTGGAAAACAAGACTCTGATAAGCACTTGTTAATTAGTTTTGAAAGGATAGACGATAGCTCCGGAGAACACTTCTGCAAGACTATAACAGGTATGTTGTCCGGTCCGCAAGCTGTAGAAGAGTCTAAGCGGGAAATCACTTTAGATACAGAAGCTGGAGTGATACGAATGTCAAGCAATGGATCAACCTGTTTGACAGCTATATCAGGTAGAACGCAACTAGTGGCATCAAGAGATGATATTGATGAAAAGTTCTTGGCAAACAATTCAGCTTTGTCTTTAGGTGAGGTGACAAAGTCTGAACCATACAAAAGAGGTGGAATTACAGACTTGCCCTTGTTATTGATGCTATTAAAGATTCTCAAGAAGTCACGAGAGCCTAATTTTTGTGATGAAATAAGAGATTTCATGATCTGAGAATAGCGGGCTTTGGCATTAGACAAAACTTTTTTACAATGGTTCCTAGCAGTAATAAACAGACGTCTGTTTTCTGGAGAATTGTTTTGCTGATAGATATGGAAGTAATTGTTTCGATTGGCAATTGCAGCAGCACAATGTGAGGAAAACCATGGAGAAGAGTGAGGCATGACCTGGAATCATGGTCATGCCTCACTCTTCTCCATGAGAGGAAATAAAGGATTTCATGCCAGCCTGAATCCACGAAGTTATGTCAGAAGCACATTTGACAACAGGAAGACGGAAGATTTTTACCCAGGGGCCATCACAAAGAAAATCACGAAAAGAATCCCAGTCAGATTTAAGGTAGTTGTAAGATGTACAATGATAGGGGAATTCTGATGGTAAAGAAGAATGAGAAAATAGTTTTAGAGAGACCAAACCATGATCAGAAGCATCTAAAGGTGAGTCTGAAGAAACTGAGCACTGACTAGGATCAGAAACAAGACATAAGTCGAGTAGAGAAGGTAAATGATTCGGGTTGTCTGGAAAGCGAGTTGGAAAGTTGACTATTTGAGTTATGGATTGAGAAAGGCAAAAGTTGTGTACCTTAATGCCTGCAGATTCACTGACACTAGAGCCAAGCCATTCAGTGTGATGAACATTAAAGTCTCCGAAAACAACAATATTGGCTGATGGATAAAGAGAGAGGGCTTGGTCAATATGATCAGAAATAACATCAAGAAGAGTGCAGTCTCTAGGTGAGAGCTACCACAGAGTTCGGGAAACCTGACTACTAGCCGGCCTTAGAACCATAAAACTGCGTTTTAGAGCTCTACCCTCATTTGGAGATAATAGAATGAGTTGTCTAGTCATAAAAACAGAGACACAAGCAAAACCCATGAGTCGAGTCAAGAAGATCCAGTGTTCAACATCCTAAACTGGAAATAATGTATTAAATTATACATCTGCGCCAGCCTAATAGATGAAGAAGGGGTGCAAGGCTGGTCAACAGATAGAATCTGTTTACCCCTTCATATAGATTAAAACAGATAGAATCTGTTTACCCCTTAAAACAGATAGAATCTGTTTACCCCTTAATATAGATAGAAAATAGATAACCAACCACCTTTTGTTCGCAATTCAATTTTAAAAGCTGCAAAATTATTGAAAAATTCAAGTGAGTTTAAAAACATTTATATTAACCCTGATTTAACCGAGGCAGAAAGATGTAAAGCAAAGTTGTTACGAGATGAATGTAAAAAAAATAATTTAGAAAATTCAGAATCTTTACTATATTATTATGGTATTAGAAACGACAGAGTCGTTAAAATCGCAAAATAGCAATTACTTTTTTACAACAGGAAATTAAGTCATATGAGTCATTGTGCAACAGAACTTGCAAACTCGTCACGTATTAGTTGTGAATATCTTATATCTAAATCGAGTAAACCAGACAAAATAATTTGTATAAAAAAATGTCGCAATAAACCAACCAATTTAAATTTAATAAACGGCAATAGCAATAATGGCTGCAATAGTAATAATGGCTGCAATAGTAATAATGGGTGCTCTTCGAATCCTATATAATCCTTAAAAAATTCTGTATATCTTTTAAATGCTAGAAGCCTTGCAAATAAGCTGCACAAATTTTTTATGTTTACGGAGGCAAATAAACCTGCCATAAGTTGCGTTTGCGAAACATTTTTCACCAGTAAAATATCTGACTCTATTGTTTGTCCAAAAGATTACTCAATCTATCATAAGGATCGCATTAAAATTGGAGGGGGAGTAGCTATTTATTATAGAAATGACATTAAATTAGAACAAGTACAAATAACTCAAACGGACACTGATATTGACATTGTCTGTATAGACTTAATTTTTAGTTCGTATAATCTCCGTTTAATCACATGTTATCGCCCACCTTTTTACTCCATTGCCGATGTGGCTTATATCGAACTTATGAATGCATTTATATATAATCTATGCCACTCTGTATCTCTATTTGTTATTGTCGGTGACTTCAATTTTCCTAAAATGGACTGACTTAATTAGGTATCACCAAACGAAAAGTGCCATATCCTTTTTTTAAATTTAGTCAACAATCTCGGTTTGCATCAATTTTACAGGAACCTACTCGTGAAAACAATATTCTTGATCTTGTATTTTTAAATATTTCATTTCTTAATCTTATTTCATTACACTGTCCACTTCTCTATTAATATAAATGATCTCGATCAGTCAAATAAAAATATTGAATCCTTCTACGACTTCGTTAATGCCGACATTGATGGTTTTCAGTCTTATTTATTAAATATTAATTGGGACTTCGAGTTTTCCTTTTTTTTTTTTACAGTTGAAGATTATTGGAACGTTTTCTCCAATCATTTTTGCAATGGTATTCATCAATTTGTTCCAATTAGAAGGAGTAATTTTAATAAAAAAAGATAACACTAACCGAGTTTTATCGGGAAAATGTTAAATCGTAAAGGTTTCTTATGAAAACAAATCGTAAAGGTTTCTTATGATGGTCAAATACTAAAAACATTACACACAAAAAAGCATATAACAAATACGCAAGTAAATGTAAAAAATCATTACTTACTTACCAAATGAGAGTCGAACTTGAACTTGTAAAGGAAAACAATATCAGCAAATTTTTTAATTACGTTAATAAAAAATTAAATAACTCTAAAAGTATTTTTCCTCTAAAAGACAAAAACAATAATAACAAGTTAACTTGAAGTAATGAAGAAATCGCTGACGTTTTTAACAATCACTTTGGCAGTCTCTTTACAAATGATAACAATTGCTCTCCATTTATTAATAGTTATGTTGATGATTCAATTGGTATTGAAACTGTACTATTTCCACCAGAAGCAGTGTATAAATCTTTGAAGGAAGTTAAAGCCAGCACATTGTACGGTCCTAATGGCATACCTAACATACTTCTGAAAAAATTAGCTCATCTATTGTGTATTCCACTCTCATTTATATTTGATGCCAGTTTTAAGTCAAGTTCCTTACCTAAACAATGGCGCCAAGCTTTTGTATCTCCACTTTTTAAAAAAGGAGCTACTGCAGATCCAAATAATTATAGACCCATCTAACTGACATGCACTTGCTGTCGAGTCATGGAAAGAATGATCAATGTGTATGTCATAAAGTATTTAGGTCATCATAATTTAATATCTCTTAATCAACATGGTTTCCTCAACAAACATTCAACCAGTACAAATCTCTTAGAATCTGCTAATGATTGGAACACCGCACTCGATAACCATCAAATAACGGATGTTGTCTATATTGATTTCCAAAAAGCGTTTGACTCTGTCTCGCATACCAAACTATTAGTAAAACCTACATCCTATAACATAAAACGTAATCTTTTAAATTGGATTTCCGCTTTTCTCACCGATAGATATCAACAAGTCAAGGTCGGCAATTCTATATCAAACTCTATACGCATTGTTAGTGGAGTTCCACAGGGTAGTGTGTTAGGTCCCACATTGTTTTTATTATATGTTAATGATTTAACCGCTATAACTAATAATCTGGACTGTTGTGTAAAACTTTATGCAGATAATATAAAGTTATATAGCTTGTACTGTGATATGGATCTAAGCCAAGATTTAGTTGTTGCTTTAAATAGACTTTTACAATGGGCAGAAAATTGGCAACTATCAATTGCTTGTAGTAGGTGTTTTGCACTTAGAATAGCACCTCCCTCATTATGCAAAGGTATAAAGGTTAACTATAAATTAGGTGAATATTCTTTGGCTTGGTCTTCAAACCCAAAAGATCTAGGAGTAACAATGGACTGTAACCTTAATTATAAAAAACATATTTTTAACGTCATCCATCAAGCTAACTCTAGAGCATACTTAATTTTGAAATGTTTTAAAACACTGACCCTTGTATCCTAGTTAGAGCTTTCACTACCAATTTTAGAATATTTATCTCCAGTATGGTCACCACAACAAATTGGATTGATTAAATCAGTTGAAAGTGTCCAACGAAAATTTACAAAAAAAATAAGGAGCCTCAGAAATCTTTCCTATTATAATAGATTACAGTTGCTTGGTATCGATTCACTCGAAGTTCGGCGCCTTAAAAACGATTTAGTAACTTGCTTTAAATTTTTTCGTAAACTTGTCTGTACTGATCAATCTATGTTCTTTGCAATTGACAATAACAGCCACACCCGGGGTCATAATTATAAAATAAGCAAACAATCTTGTCGCTTGGATTTAAGAAAATATAGCTTTTCTTATCAAGTTGTTGACATGTGGAACAAAATGACCTCGGAGGCTGTAAATGCAAATAACATTTTAATGTTCAAAAATAAAATTAAATCTTTCGACTTTAACAAATATCTATTGTAAAAGGAACAACTATTTGTTTCTTTATAGTTTTTTTTTTTTTTTTTTTTTTTTTTTTTTTTTTTGTAGCGATATTTTAAATTTATTAAATATATTTTAAATTTCTTTGGGGACGTTGTTAGTGTCCATCTTTGTATGGGCCTTCGTGTCCTTTAGAACGTGTATTTATACTTTGTTCTAATAAATATCAATCAATAAATCAATCAATCAATGTAATAATAAAACAATTTATATCCACGGTGATTCCAACCTCTTACCTAATATTTATATCTAAACACTCTCTCGCACTGATGAATTAAAATTGTTTGCCACCATTAAATTATTATTTTTAAATAAAGCTATTCCGTTTCACAAATATGCATTAAAAAAATCCAACTATATTTGTAAACTTAAATACCATCCTCAAATTACTTTTAATAAAAACAAAAATTGCAAGAGAAAAATCAAGTATAAAGTCATTACCATGTATCTAAAAAAAAATGCAATTTTGTTGTTTCAATGCTTTTAGCTGTAATTTACCATATGCTTTTAAAACCAAAAAAAAATTAAAGAATGGTAAAAAATTGTAATGACTTTAGACCAGCAGTATGGTATAATCTTCTATTTAAAAGCAAAAGAAAGTTGGCAAAGTTTAATTATTTTTATATATGCATAACAACCTGACAATGACATTTTAGAAAATTATCTGTTGACAAAATGTAGTTAAATTCAATTAAAGACGTTAATGATGTACCTTTGTTTACTATAAGAAAAACCAAAATTTTTAAATATACATGTTTGTATAAAAATTGTTGTTTTTATTTTAGGAATGACACGTGATGATTTATTCAATACCAATGCATCTATTGCAATGAAGCTAGTTGATGCATGTGCAAGGTTTTTTTTTTTTTTTTTTTAATTTTGAAATTTAAACATTAAAAAAAAGCACTTTGAAAAAAAAAATTTATTATATTATATAATCATGATTTTTTTTAATAGAAATTGCCCCAATGCAATCATTGGTATAATAACCAATCCTGTAAGAAATCATACTTTTGTATTATTTATTTTTTATAAACATTTTTAAATTAATAAATATTAAATAACATATCTTAAATAATTTTTTTTTCTAAAGGTCAATTCTACAGTTCCTATTGCAGCAGAGGTTTATAAAAAGCATGGAGTCTTTAATCCAAATAAGTAATCATTTTCAAATTTTGTTGTTTTAGTTAAGGAATTCATTAAAAAGTTGATTTATTTTATTAGACAACACTTTTTATTAGTGATTTTTTATATCAACACTCTGACACCTCCAACTATCGCCCAATCAGTATTCTTTCTACTGTCACCAATATTTTTAAGTTAACAAATTTCTAATCTTCAGTCTACTCAACTTACTCTCTAACAATACAGATTTCAAGCTATCTAGTTCCATCAACCAAAATTAACTCCTTAACTCCTTATTCATCAAAATTGTATTCTTTTGCTGTATTTTTTCCTTCAAGCTCCAAAAACTAATGTTTTCTATAGCATTACAAAATTTTTAAAAGTGAACACAGAAAAAGTAATACGAGAAAAAGCGATTTATTAAATTAGTCTTTTTTTTTCTAAAGGTTGTTTGGAGTTTCTACACTAGATGTTGTTCGTGCAAATACATTTGTTGCTGAAAAAAAAAAACTTGATGTTTCTAAGACCAGTGTTCCTGTCATAGGAGGCCACTCAGGGGTTACTATTTTACCATTACTTTCTCAAGTCACTCCAAAGGTTTCATTTACCAATGAAGAGGTGATTGCCCTAACTACCAGAATTCAAAATGCTGGTACTGAAGTAGTTGAGGCTAAAGCTGGCGCTGTAAGTTTTTTGTAATTGTTTAATTAATAGAATAGAAATTTTAAATTTTTTTAATGTTTTTATAGTTTTATATATTCTATAGTTTAATATATTCTATATGTTTGTAATAATAGATTGTAAAATAATGCAAAATATATTGATATATACACAGAATATAGAAAAATATGTAAAAATTATATAAATAAAAATAAAAAGAATATAAAAAATAGATGGAAAGACTTTTTACAACTTATTAATAGGGTTCTGCTACTTTATCTATGGCTTATGCTGGTGCTCGTTTTGCTTTTTCTATTCTTGAAGCAATGAATGGTGCAAAGGGTGTGGTAGAATGTGCTTATGTTGCATCCACTGTTACAGAAGCTTCCTTCTTTGCTACTCCATTATTGCTTGGTGTAAGCTGTTTTTATTATATTTTTGTTTTAATATTTATATCATTAACTTTGTTGTTTTTATTTATAAATAATTTTTGATTTTAATAGTGGGTCTATAAATAGTTATAATAATATTAAATAGTTTTACACTCACAAATTTATTTATTTAGCCCGAGGGTGCTGAAAAAAATTTAGGTATTGGTGAAATTTCAGAGTTTGAGCAAAAGAAATTAGTTGAGGTAAAAATAGATTGTTAATTAAACATGTACTGTATACAAAGAATAACTTTATTTGTTTATTTTTTTCATTTATAGCTTTTGCCAGAACTGAAAAAAGATATTGCAAAGGGTGTCCAGTTTGCAAAAGCTAACCTTTAAAATTGGTTTGGTTACATTGAGTGGTGATATAATTTATAATATTTAAAGTGTTTAAAATCTTTTAAAAAAACTTTTTTTGTAAGAAGTTTTCTGTAGAAAAAATATTTTTAAAATGTATTTTTTGAAATTATTTTTCAAATAAACAAAATCAATAAATTTAACATAACAGTTGTATTTTTTTTTTTATCCTCTACCAAACAAAAGACTTTTGTGGTTTGTCATTTGTTTCCACCAAGTAGAATTATCGTTTTTGTTATAACTTGGTGATTTAATTATTTAAATAACATAGTGATATCATTATTGGTATAAAATTGAATTTTAATTTTATTGGTTGCATTTTTTCAGTTGGTTGTAATCATTTAGTATTTAATGCATTAAATTGTTGAATGCTAGCAATATTGAATGCAACAATATTGAATTATTTTTTTAATTTCAGTTGCATCAAAACTGTTAGTTGTATTTAAGTTTTCGATTTATTATGAAAACTTTTCAGTTAATAAAGTTATATTATCATACATAAAGTCAAGGTTACATAAAATCTTTCAGTTAATATTATAAATGGAAAAAGATAGCAACGAAGAAGCTGATAGTGATGAAGAAATTTTGAACTATGGCAGCAAAAAATTGCTGACATTTTTACATAATGAGGTTGTAATGAATTTTTCCTCATCAGAAGATGATGATGTATCTTCAGAAGATGAATCAGAGCAGAGTTTAGATTCTAGCCTTTTTAATGACACTAGTCTTGTAAATGATGAAAAAAATTCCATCAGGTATACTTTTGGTAGTTTTTCAGCATTTTTTAACTTATAATATCATCATTGTTGTTCTGTGTTGACTTAAAATGTTTTGTAGATATAGAAAAGCAAATTGATGCTAATGGCATTTTACTTTTACTTGCAATGGAGGTAAATGTTACTGAAACAGGAACACTGTAAAATGATGTTTGTGAAGGTTCAATGATGGTAAAATAATGTTTAAATGTGATACTTAATAACCATTGTGGAGCATATTAAATAGTAAATACTGTTTGGTCGATTAAATTGAACAAAAGTAAATAAGTACTTGTGGCACTTTAAACAGTAAAAACTTAAAACTAAATGGTTGTGCCCTTGAAACACCATTTTATAGAGTTTTTTTCTGTTTTGAATGTTTCTGTTTTGAATGAAAATGTTATTAAGTCAAGAGTTCTAAATTTAGTTGTTGAATTTATTATGTGGTAAAGCTTAAAATAATCTTTAAAAATAATAACTCTAGTCTCTGCAGAAAAGGTGGATAGTCGAGCTCTGCAGAAAACATTTGCTAATTTACCAACTTTTGTCTGGACTCAATTAACTAATAGAATTAATAGCTTTTAACCAGAATAGTTTTATTGTTGTTATATAAAAAAATATTCACCACATGCACTATCTGAAAAGAACTACGGAAAAAAAAGTGTTAAAATTTTTTTTTTTAATTTTTACATTTTAGATTCAATTCAGTACTTTCACCATCACCCCCTCCACCTCCTCTTAAACATGCTAGACTTGATGTACTAAAAAGGTAAACTTAAAATAGAAATATTATTCATATTATTTTTAAATCTTTTTCAAATAAGCAAGTTATTAAATAGTTCAGAAGTCTTACAACGGTTAAGAAAAGAATGTGTTGTGGCTTCCACACCAGATGACCAAATCTGGGAAAAAAAGTGTGAAGACTTATGCCAAATTAAAGTTCGACTTCATGGTGAAGTAAAAAAGTTTTTTATTAAAAAGGTAATGTTTTACATGTTTTAAATAATTTGTAGAATAAAGTAAGAGCCAGATAATTGTATATTTTTTTTTTTTTTTAAGTTAGTAAAAAGCATTCCAATTGCTAGCTCTAAAGACAATTGCAGTGAAGGGGTTCCAAATCCTAGCTAAATTAACTAAAAAAATAGGTTTAGTAACTAAGTATTTTAAAATTTAACAAGAAATATACTTATTGTAACAAGAGTTATGCCCTAAAATATTGTTAGCAAAATTTTTGGTTGAAATCATAATGGCTAAAAAATTAAGATGCTGTTCAGATGATATTTTTTGTATGAGCAAGCCAGCCATGCAGCAAATTTACTTACTGCTGAAAAGTCTACTAGTGTTCTATAATACTCGAAATGGCAACTTAAAAAATGAACTTTTAAACAGATAAACAAAACTTTGTAAACAAATAATCACAATATACAACTTTTTAATTATAAACTACAACTTTTTAAATATGTCATGCTTACCATCAACATCATGCTTCAATATAGAAGTCTCATGTGTACAAGTAAATTTAAGTGTTTATAACTAAACTGATCAAACTTATGAAAATGGCAAAATACATTTGCTAAGTGGTTCAACAACAACTAGCCTTGAATCTTCACTGCACTGCATCTGTGCAGTCTTTCTTAAGTAGTTCACAGTATTCCAACAGTAACAAAACCAAAACATTAGTATTCCATACTTCCTGGCTATTCCATGTTCATATCCTATATATATATATATATATATATATATATATATATATATATATATATATATATATATATATATATATATTAGTGATGTACCCATTAATCGGCATCGGCTTTATCGGCCATTTTTTGCGGAATCGGCATCGGCCACTTTTACAGATTTTCCAACTGATGGCATTTTAATATTTTTATCCTGCATTATTATAACAATTAAATAATAAATAAACTAAACCTTATACATTACTTAGAATTTTTCGAATAAATTTTTATTATGACTTTGTTTACAAAAAGAAAAAGTAACTAATTAAGGTATTGTTATCTATATTTTTTAAATTTTTTTTTACTTCTAACAATGCTGCAAGCAACCACTATCAAGTTGGGAGTTGCTAGAAAAAAAGAGTAGCAAGGAAACGGTTGACAGAAGACTTAAAAAGTTGAAGGTTGTGTGAGTCAGGAAAACATAAAGATGGGACAGAGTTCCTACAGGTTGAAGTGCTGAGAAATAAGCTAGACAAATAAATGATTTTGGAGCATAAGGGACAGATACAGTAAAAGAATGAGATGTTGATAAATGACAAGTCGTTTGAGGTATTTGAGTTTTGTTGGAATTTAAATTTACGAGCCACTTTAAGCCCCAATCAGTTACAGAAGTGAGATCAGATACAAGATAGGCTGTCTGTTTTAAGCAAAAAAGAGAAGAATTTTTGTCAAGACATTAGTATTAAGTTGAGTCATCAGAAAAATGAGTTACTTTAGATATGAGGTTGTCAGGAAGATCATTAATGTAGATAAGTAATAAAACAGGACCAAGGATAAAACCTTGAGGTACCCCAGAAGTTACTGGAAATAAAGAAGAGTGTTGACCTTCGAAGATGACTTTATTAAGGCGGTTAGAAAAAAAACAATTTGATAATCTCAAAAATTTCCCAGATACACCATATGAAACAAGCTTATGGAGAAGACCAATATGTCAAACTTTGTCGAAAGTCTCAGATATGTCTAGAGCAATAGCCTCTAAACCTCCATCTAATGCACGATAAAATCGTTCAGTCACAGCAGTTAGCAAGTCAGCCTTAGAGCAAGAGGATTGAAACACGTATTGGTTGTCTGACAGCAACTTATTTGACTAAAGTTGGAATGTGAGAAATATGTTTATCAGAAAGAAGATTGATTGGACAATATTTGGAGGGGTCAGTATGTTTATTAGAGATTTCAAAAAATAGAACAACAGATGCCATTTTTCAGCAGGCAGGAAAACAAGAATCAGTCAAGTACTTAATAAATAGTTTAGAGAAAATTGAGTGCTAAAGAACAATTTTGTACGACTGTGACAGGAATTTTGTCTGGATCTCAAGCCATAGAAGACTTTAATTGAGATATGACTATGAGCAATGGAAGCTGAATTAGTTTGAATGTCTAACAAAGGGTTAACCTGTTTAATTAGAATGGAAGGAAAAGAAAGGCCATAAGAGTTGAGAATCAGATTGGAAGAGAATTTCTTTGCAAATAGTTCAGCCTTATTTCATGTATTTAGGCATAGCCAAGTATCAAGTATATTTTTTTATTTTTTTATTTCAATTCACCTCCCTGAGGCTGCAAAGGCCACTTTAATTGAGGAGGCTTCTTTAGTTATGGCTATAACCCACTATCAATTTTATTACTTGGAAACACAAACCTTGATTAACAAAGATTAAAATAACTGTTTGGCTTTGATATGGGTCCAAGTATTTGTTTACCAGTATTGATATAAAGTTGTATGAGTTTATATTTTAATTAGTTAATTCATCAGTATAAGTTTTTTCTCTTCCATCGACATCGGTATCGGCATCAACCAAAAATGTGATATCGATACATCACTAATATATATATATATATATATATATATATATATATATATATATAATATATATATATATATATATATATATATATATAGTGTAATATTTATTTCTTATTTATAGTTAACTTATTTACTTTTTTACCAAATAGTTCTATAAAAGATAAACATATTTTTTGGGTTTAAGTAACCCCGGGTAGCTCAAGTAGCCCATGATGGTATATATAAAGTACTGGTCAAAATTATAGCACAAAAAGTTGTTTTTAGCACCACCTTAATATATATATTGAAAATATACCTTGGTAATCAAAAAAAAAGTTGAAATTAATCAAAATGATTTTTTGTTACCAATTTTTAAATGAACTTATTTAACTTACCTTTTTAAATTGAATCTATAATATCTAACTAATACCTGCTCCAAGTAGTTTTTTTCAAAACAAACAAAACAAATATTTTTTCAAAACAGTGTGACAATACTTGCCTTTGTGGCGTGGGTTCAATCATATATTCAAGAACATTCACACATTTGAACATTAGCTCTTAATAGATCTTAAAACTCAACAGAAGATATTGTTGATGCTTAAAATTTTGTTATGCTTGAAAATGACAATAAAATCACCAATTATTTCTTTTGTAGACATAAACGTTTTGTGTGATGCAGCTACTGTTTACATCTGGAATGCAATTGTTTTTACAGAAGCCACAATAAAAATAGACAACTGTGGTGAAGATTACTAGGAACCATGTTTAATCGTGCTCAGTATTTTTAACTAAAGTTGATAGTACAAATTGCTTTAAAATATGGAAAAGAAATGTAGTTCTCTTTTAAACAAAATAAGAGACAACCAACACATTATGGGAAACCTTTTAACTTTTGTAGTCAAACCATTACCTAAGTATAATACTGGAAACTGCAATCAAAGAAAATGCTATATGTAGTATAGCATTTTCTTTGTGTGTGAAACTCTCTTAAGATAAATTTTAGGCAGTATTTAGGTTTATTTAGTTTGTAATGAATTTGATTATGTTTTTTATATCATATATTTCTAATCATTTTTATTATCTCCAACTGATTCTTGTAATTTTTAAAAATCAATATAAAGCTTGGTTAGGCTTTTTTATCAAACTTTAATTGTGACAATGTTCTTTATTACTGTGAACATAAAAAAGTTATTCTTTCATTTGCAAGATTTCCGGGCTTAAACCCTTAGTCGATATATGTACACTTAAACCCTCAGTCGATATACACTCACTGTGCTTATCCCTATTTAACACAGTCGATAAGTTTTTGCTGCTCTTATATATCCCAGTTTGTCTATTCCATATAAATGTGAGTTAATGGGTGTTAAGGATTCTCAATGTCAGATTAGAGGTTTGACACCCAACTCTAAAATTATTGTACACCAAAAATAAGGGTTTAGTTTGACCTATATATATATATATATATATATATATATATATATATATATATATATATATATATATATATATAATTTGTTTTTTGTTTTTTGTTTTTGTCAACAGAATGAGCCATTTTTAAAGATAATTGAACAGATAGCTAAACAAGAAAAAGTACCGATAACATGTGTTGTTTTGAACAATAAGCTCACTACAATTGATGTTAATGATTCAGTTCAAAAACTGAACATCACAATATGTGATATTATTGGTAAGTGTTGATTTTTTAATTTTTTTTTCTAATGTTATTCACCTCCTTAAAGCTGAGAGGACCATTACAGTCCAGGAGGCTGGGATGCGGAGTCCCAAAGGAACTCTGGCTTTATATCTTTATTTTTTCAGGTCTGTAGTGTCTAGAAGCTAGAAACATGTTTGTTGACTTATGACTTGCTATAAGAAAAAAATTCATGAGATTTAATGATTTGAAACTTATTGTTTTTAAGCCTGGGGTGCCTGAGTCCTTGCCGCCATTATACCTAAGGACTCCAGGTTAAAAAAATAATTGTTCCTCTTACATAAAA